TTGTATATAAGTTACAGTTGCTAACAATATGGCATACCTCCATTGGCAACAAAGTGACCTTCGGAATACTCTCTTGTCTATCAGTATACAAAGAAAATTTATTCCGCTACAACGGTTTTGTTCTGACACATGAATTAACCAGCATTGGTATCAGAGTGAAGTCAAGTTGATCTTGATTAAGTCACTGTATTTCGAACTCACGTAAAATGACAACATCGTGATCGAGAGAAATATCGGTGAACATTCACTTCATATGAGAGATATTCGTGAATTTGAAATAGTTGGTGTTTGATAAGCAAACCTCGTGATAACTGATATTTTCTGAGTGTATCTGCATTTTGTAGCGTCCTGATAACTGGACGAAAATATCACAGTGTCTATACAAACACCTTATAGCGAATACCGTCACCACTCTCACCACTCTAGAATTTGAACGTCCTGTTGACGACTTAACTAAACACGACTGAAGTAACAAAATATCAAAACTAATATAGACTAAACCTTGAAATGATGTATTGTTAGTTACAGAAATGTCGGTCACCAGATATTTACTGTTAGTTACAGATATGTCGGTCACCAGATAATATTTACTGTTAGTTACAGATATGTCGGTCACCAGATAATATTTACTGTTAGTTACAGATATGTCGGTCACTAGATATTTACTGTTAGTTACAGATATGTCGGTCACCAGATAATATTTACTGTTAGTTACAGATATGTCGGTCACCAGATATTTACTGTTAGTTACAGATATGTCGGTCACCAGATATTTACTGTTAGTTACAGATATGTCGGTCACTAGATATTTACTGTTAGTTACAGATATGTCTGTCACCAGATAATATTTACTGTTAGTTACAGATATGTCGGTCACCACATAATATTTACTGTTAGTTACAGATATGTCTGTCACCAGATAATATTTACTGTTAGTTACAGATATATTGGTCACCTGATATTTACTGTTAGTTACAGATATGTCGGTCACCAGATATTTACTGTTAGTTACAGATATGTCGGTCACTAGATATTTACTGTTAGTTACAGATATGTCGGTCACTAGATATTTACTGTTAGTTACAGATATGTCGGTCACCAGATAATATTTACTGTTAGTTACAGATATGTCGGTCACCAGATATTTACTGTTAGTTACAGATATGTGGGTCACTAGCTATTTACTGTTAGTTACAGATATGTCGGTCACCAGATATTTACTGTTAGTTACAGATATGTCGGTCACCAGATACTATTTACGACCATTCGGATGATGCTGAGGGTTATGTACCACTTTTCGCTTCCATCTGAAATGTTAATTGCTAAAACTGCCATTGTTGAAATCACAACAGAATAAATGTAGCTCAAGACGAGTAGGGTAGATATCACCAGGTACTATAAGTTCAAGGGTATCAATCACAACAACATGCAGATTGAAGTGACTCTGGCAGGAAACCCAGGCTACGTTACAGATTGATTGATGTATTTATAAAGTGAAACTACGTGTGATCTACACTAACAATAAATGTGGAAGTATATTTTGAGGTTAGTTAACATGTATGGAGTATATTTTTGAGGTTAGTAGTTAAGTAGTATGGAATATATTTTTGAGGTTAGTAGTTAACTAGTAGTGAGCATATTTTGAGGTTAGTAGTTAACAGGTAGGGAGTATATTTTGAGGTTATAGCTAACTAGTAAGGAGTATATTTTGAGGTTAGTAGTTAACTAGTAGGGAGTATATTTCTGAGGTTAATAAGTAACAGGTAGGGAGTACATTTTGAGGTTAGTAGTTAACAGGTAGGGAGTATATTTTGAGGTTAGTAATTAACTAGTTAAGAGTATAATTTTGGAAGGCAGGTAGGTTACTAGTAAGGAAAAGAAATTAAATGTTTTTGAATTAAACACAGGTATACATTGTGATGCATTATCATTTGGAAATGGATATATTGATATACTTCTGGAGAAGAGGAGAATATGTTGATACTTTGTCTGTGATCTGGTCACGGATAAATTAAACAGATGTTTATTATTCAGAGACCTAGCATCATCGTTGTATCTAAATGCAAACTTTTAAAAAGTAATAAATAATGCTACGAGTGTTAATTTAGACAAACATGTCCTTAAATAACACATTACAGTGATAGTTTATACCACAGAACTGTAGATGGTAGACATTATTATCCTGATCTAGGACATCTCAATATAACAGATAATGAGAAAACCATAAATAGATTTACTATCGGTAAAATTATAGGAATTAGGAACTAAATACTGTGGTGTTGGAGACGTCCACAATGTATTGCTGTTTTGGTGTTGATTCGGCTGCAACAAAACAGTGAGAATGAAGCATTGCATCATAGCAACATGGGGCTAAGCTCTTTATAAATTCGTCTCGTTATTCTCGATTTTTCATACTTATGTTTGTAGTCTGACACCCGCTGATTGACTGTACTAATGTCCCGTATTGTGTTCTACTCATCACACTTTTACCTGTACAGGTAAATACAAACATCCTCATTCCTTACATTCATGGTCAGCTGTACATAGCTGCATCCCCATCTGTTAGGTAGCGACATATGACATGTAGGGATATACTGGTGTGCTTCATGATTTACCGGTGTCCTTGGTCATTAACTTGTCAGCCAGTCGCAGACAGATATGTGTAAACCGCTACATGTACATACAGGTGATACACGTATTAACAGCATATAAAACCATGTTTACATATAGCATTGGTCGAGTATTGCAAAAATATATAATTTACCGATTTCCAAATTCACTTTTATTACCGGGAGTACGACACAAACACGTAAGGTTCTACACCTTGAGTATACGTAAGTCAATTTTGTGAAACGAACGCATCTACATGAATTACACACAAACATGGATTTATAACAAGAACGTACTATTTATTACATATAATAAATGTCTTTATATATATGTATCACGAATGTACACACACACACACACACACACACACACACACACACACACATATATGTAAATATGTATTAAAATGAACATATCTATATATAAAGATATGTATCACAAATGTACATATATATATGTATTACAAATGCACATATACAGATCTATTACAATAGATGTGGAGTACTAGAAGAAATTTTCAATAACTGAACGTTTTGCTATAAACGACAACATTTTCATGTATATCAGAACTTAAATAAAGTTATCATGTAATGTAATATTTTATGAATACCATTCTTGGAAGGTCTTCATTAAGGAGAAAAAAAAAATTGAAACTTCATGACGAGTTTCACAAAAAAAAGCATATGAAATGAAAAAAAATGATACTTTTTACCACAAAAGTTAAAACAGTAACTTTTTGACATGCTTTAAAGGCAAAAAATGCACAGTATAACATCAAACGGACGCACCCATTTAGTCGCGCAATTTTCAATTCATTGTCCATATTATGACAATCGATTTCTGAGTGATGCAGCGAATGAAAAAACACACCAGATTATATTACAAAAGTGCCATACAATATTGTAAATGCAAAATCGTTGGATAATCGACCATAAAAAATAAAAAAGCTAATTATTTTGCATGTTATATACGACCACGCGACACCTGTATACTACTAATCAATATACGATATCTGTCATTCACGAAAGCAATAGGAAGGTAAGGTAGGTATGTTATACCTATAAAGGGCAAAGTTAACAGGAATTCAAATCATTCGTTGACACTCCTATCTTGCACATATGGTGACGCCAAACAATAAATCTAATTTTAGAGAAAAAAAAAAGAAAATCAGAAAATAAAACAAGCAAAATTGCGCCAAATTACAGAAAGCCATCTTTGTCCTACAAAAAACTTGTACGAAAAAGATAAAACCGGCTGATGATATGAGTTTGTAGAAATGATTTTTACATCATCAGTGTCAAGTACTTTTTCACTTTCGTACACTAACATTGATGCTATTGCTGGGATAAGTACTCCCCTCCTTAAATACATTATCTGTTTATGGTTTTGCAACTCCGAGGGACGTTGATCGGCATTTGTCGCAAGGACATACATATATATATATATACACAATATGTGACTTCATAATTCATTGTTATCTTCTTTCATTTTGTTTAACTCTTAAAACACTTAAAATACCAAACCAAACACAGAGATAGCTACGTTATAAACGATAGTTATAATTAAAAATAACAAAAATATATGTAATTTGATTACGTTTATTAGGATATAATTTTCGAAAGATGCACTTTTTGGAATTACAAGCGTGTTAATAGTTGTAATTCAATTATAAATAAACAATTAGCTACATCCTGTTACCAATGATACAATAATTAGGAATATGTCCTTATTTGGTTTATCTAAATTACTTTTTATATTCAAACTTATTTTACCCGTTGTACCACTGATGAGTCTTGTAACGACTTACCAGACAGACAGATGATGCATTTTTATTTTATTCTTCTCGGATGGCAATGAGTTGTGTGTTAATGTAGATAATTTATTATCCATAAAAGGAAGGTTGACGGTTACTTAACTGGTCTCCTTACATTTACTGACTCCACAGAGATATGAAGTCCCCAGTATGTACAGCTATATCTGTTTCACATAACAATGCTGGGAAATTGCCTTAAAACGCTTTCTCTCCCAACGAATGTTTAAGTTCCTGACTTTTCTTTCTGTGCATAACCCTCTTTGCCCTCTGATAAACCAATTTTGGCCAGGTTTGTTAAATATATGTAACATGGTCCACAAAGTGTGCAAAGTCATTAACGTCATTGACAATTGTTAAACAATATTTCCGCTCGGAGGAATGAAAAAAATGTCTTTTTTATTATATTTTTTTTAACAGAACATGGATTTATTTAATATATTGAATTTCGATATTTATAACTCAATATATTGGAATTTTGCAGATAAACTATCTAAGAATATTGATAAATATACAAATTGTACAAAACTAATAAAATTATTAACGTCTTTATGATAATATCATATTCCATATATTTCAGTTTTGTAAGTCACCATGCGAACGTTGTGAGGGGTAGAGCGAATTCGGGGTACGTTTTCAACTTATTTTTTACAGTATGTGGTCAGGGAAAAATCGGAGCCATTTTGTAATCTTTTTGTTAAATTCAAACTTTCCATTACAACTTTCATCTCCGTATGAACGCAGTATACACCACAATAACGTAACACAATCAATATAATCGATAAGATATTGAACTTGAGAAACTCGTTGAAATCCTTATGTCTATATGGTTGAGACTGTTGTATATAGTGTAAACACAGTGGCATTATACCACACTTTACAGTTAATTTTATCTGTATATACCTGTGTATAAGAACAATTCTCTATTGAAAGTAACATGAAAAAGCTAATCTACCGACAAACAGAGCAGTTCTAGTTGCCTGAATCTGAACTTATTGTTTTCTAAGTTGATCGATGAAGGTGGAGAGCCAGTTCTTTGATCCCTCCTGATCACCTCCCTCTAACTATCGACTTTGATTGTCTCTTACAGGTTGACTGCCTGGGACCCTATGCTTTCTCACAGCTATAACTTCGAGAATAATTACATCGACGACGGTCGGGGAAACAGGGGCATTTCTTCTACCAAATTGTGTGAAATGATGAACTTGCACAAAAAACAAAAACGTATGTGCAGACGGGGGCGTGGCGTAGCTCGGACATTACTCGACGCCATTGAACTCTCTGTGATGGAGTGTCAGTTTCAGTTTCAGAACGAGCGATGGAATTGCTCCCTTACGGAGCCCCACAGACGAAACCTTCTCAAGAAAGGTAAGTCATATTATTAAGGTTTGCAATTCCCAATTTAAAAAATGAGACGTGATGTGTATAATAATTAACAGGAAAACACATACGTAGTTGAAATCTTTGGAAAATGGCCTAGAAATACTACCAAGGGGTTGTAGCTAATTGAAACTTGCCATCAGATACAACTTTTGTAAGAATGTACAATAGCACCGAATTGAATCCCCTACATAATTGTTAAAAACAAATTAAAAATTAAAACCGGGTAAAAAGCTGTTAAATTGTTCAATAATTTTATATGTCAAGAGGCTTTTGGCGAGTGACATACCAAATTATTGAACTCGTTTAATAATACTGCTCATATGACATCACAAGTCTAAGATTCTATTCATTACATTAGCCATGTTTCTAAAAAAAATGAAGCAAAAAGATAGAACTGATTGCCATGTAAGACAGACTTATTTCGATGTGGACGGTACACTTTTCACTACCGAGACAATCATGTGACGTCATCAAAACGTGACTTACTTATGACGTCACAATAGTGTTGATGTACATGTTTATGGTATTTATGACATCGCTGTATGAAATGATTCAACATGCCAGTTATGTGATAATAGAAGATTTGATGACAATACATATAGGGTCACATTTTTGTAATATATATATTTTTATAACAATACGGCTGTGGTCAGTCTCCACGAAAAATATAGAGATTAAATGATGATATAGCTGTGGTCAGTCTCCTTGTAAAATATAGAGATTTGATGATTATACAGATGTGGTCAGTCTCCTTGTAAAATACAGAGATTTGATGATAATACAGCTGTGGTCAGTCTCCTTGTTATATACAGAGATTTGATGATAATACAGCTGTGGTCAGTCTCCTTGTTATATGTAGAGATTTGATGATAATACAGCTGTGGTCAGTCTCCTTGTTATATGTAGAGATTTGATGATAATACAGCTGTGGTCAGTCTCCTTGTTATATATAGAGATTTGATGATTATACAGCTGTGGTCAGTCTCCTCGTTATACAGAGATTTGATGATAATACAGCTGTGGTCAGTCTCCTCGTTATACAGAGATTTGATGATAATACAGCTGTTGTCAGTCTCCTTGTTATATACAGAGATTTGATGATTATACAGCTGTGGTCAGTCTCCTTGTTATATATAGAGATTTGATGATAATACAGCTGTGGTCAGTCTCCTTGTTATATATAGAGATTTGATGATTATACAGCTGTGGTCAGTCTCCTTGTTATATGTAGAGATTTGATGATAATACAGCTGTGGTCAGTCTCCTTGTTATATATAGAGATTTGATGATAATACAGCTGTGGTCAGTCTCCTTGTTATATATAGAGATTTGATGATAATACAGCTGTGGTCAGTCTCCTTGTTATATATAGAGATTTGATGATTATACAGCTGTGGTCAGTCTCCTTGTTATATATAGAGATTTGATGATTATACAGCTGTGGTCAGTCTCCTTGTTATATATAGAGATTTGATGATTATACAGCTGTGGTCAGTCTCCTCGTTATATATAGAGATTTGATGATTATACAGCTGTGGTCAGTCTCCTCGTTATACAGAGATTTGATGATAATACAGCTGTGGTCAGTCTCCTTGTTATATGTAGAGATTTGATGATAATACAGCTGTGGTCAGTCTCCTTGTTATATATAGAGATTTGATGATTATACAGCTGTGGTCAGTCTCCTTGTTATATGTAGAGATTTGATGATAATACAGCTGTGGTCAGTCTCCTTGTTATATATAGAGATTTGATGATTATACAGCTGTGGTCAGTCTCCTTGTTATATATATGAGATCATTTGATATGTAGATAATACAGCTGTGGTCAGTCTCCTTGTTATATATAGAGATTTGATGATTATACAGCTGTGGTCAGTCTCCTTGTTATATATAGAGATTTGATGATTATACAGCTGTGGTCAGTCTCCTTGTTATATATAGAGATTTGATGATTATACAGCTGTGGTCAGTCTCCTTGTTATATATAGAGATTTGATGATAATACAGCTGTGGTCAGTCTCCTTGTTATATACAGAGATTTGATGATAATACAGCTGTGGTCAGTCTCCTTGTTATATATAGAGATTTGATGATTATACAGCTGTGGTCAGTCTCCTTGTTATATATAGAGATTTGATGATTATACAGCTGTGGTCAGTCTCCTTGTTATATGTAGAGATTTGATGATTATACAGCTGTGGTCAGTCTCCTTGTTATATATAGAGATTTGATGATTATACAGCTGTGGTCAGTCTCCTTGTTATATATGTGGTCAGAGATTGATGTGGTCATTTTGATAGCTGTGGTCAGTCTCCTTGTTATATACAGAGATTTGATGATTATACAGCTGTGGTCAGTCTCCTTGTTATATATAGAGATTTGATGATTATACAGCTGTGGTCAGTCTCCTTGTTATATATAGAGATTTGATGATATACAGATGTGGTCAGTCTCCTTGTTATATATAGAGATTTGATGATAATACAGCTGTGGTCAGTCTCCTTGTTATATATAGAGATTTGATGATAATACAGCTGTGGTCAGTCTCCTTGTTATATGTAGAGATTTGATGATAATACAGCTGTGGTCAGTCTCCTTGTTATATATAGAGATTTGATGATTATACAGCTGTGGTCAGTCTCCTTGTTATATATAGAGATTTGATGATTATACAGCTGTGGTCAGTCTCCTTGTTATATATAGAGATTTGAAGAGATTTGATGATAATACAGCTGTGGTCAGTCTCCTTGTTATATACAGAGATTTGATGATAATACAGCTGTGGTCAGTCTCCTTGTTATATACAGAGATTTGATGATAATACAGCTGTGGTCAGTCTCCTTGTTATATATAGAGATTTGATGATAATACAGCTGTGGTCAGTCTCCCATCCTATGTACCAAGACTTTGTCTATTTTTTCTATTTAACACTACTTCTATTTGTGGTATTATTTCATCATCGGTAAAACTTGATGTTTTAATGTGAAAATTGTATCCTAATATTATAGTACTTCCCTTAGTTTGTTCAAAATTTATACAACCTGACGTGAAAAGTATAAACACGTATCATTTTGACTTTGGTTACGTTTCGTTCGTAATTTATATAAACGACAAATATTTCATTTTTGAAAGTCCGAATTTATCTGAATGAAATGAAGTAGAGAAGGATGTAGGCTAGGAGTGGAAGAGCTTTCAATGTTTAACATGTTCAGTTTAACATGTCATGCTTTGAAGTCAATTAACAAAGGTCGTTTTCTCTCAGAGATTTCCATGTTAATAAGCCCTTGTTTGTCAAGTATTATTTCAGTTAAATGGTTCAATGTTGTTTTAAATAAAAATTAATGAGACAGTCTAACAGTGTTAAACAACATCAAAGCTTTTTAAAAGTAGACAGTCAGGGATCTCATTCGGAAATGTTTCATGTGATGATTTAATATTAAAAAAAATCAATTATTATATAAAATTAAGTAATTACCAACAAATATTGATGCATGTTCATAAAATGATGACGTCATAATAAGCTGTGTACTAAATTGCGATGATGAATTGTTTTACTTCTAAATTGTATGCGTGTTTTTTGGCAAAGTCTACCACTGTTTAGCCACATAGCTCTCTGTGGGTTGTTTCTCGTGTAAACAAAGGCTTTACTCCATCATCATGTTACAAATGAAAGTCAATTGTTAGTAAAATCTAAACTGACACCGGTAGTAAACAGGGATGAATACACCTCTGCATGCTTTCTAACTACGGTATATTCTCACTATATGTTTAGGATATTTCTCGTTACTTACTATCCACCTTACTTAGGACAGAAAAAAACTTTACACCGACATTAAATGTCGATTCAAGCAAGCCGACGTGGTAACACATTGACTTCTTTCATTAGAGGAATTTTCTTTTCAGATAACGTTCGGTTTAAATGAAACTTTGTAAGTTTAATAGTCTGAATACTTTTAGCAGATGACAATTACACGACAATTTCTATTTGAGAAAAAATCTAGTTAGCCGGAACATTTTTATCAGGAGAAATCGGTTACACTTAAGACCTATTTGAATAAAACCTAGTTAGACGGAATAATTATCGGTTAGAGAGAAGACTGAACAAAACCTAGTTAGATGGAACATTTTTCAAACTATCTAACTGTGTTTAGAGAGACGTATCTCTGTTAGTGGTGGGGACTAGTTTCAGAACCATCTTACTGTGTTTAGGGGGACGTATCCCTGTTGATGGTGGGGACTAGTTTCAGGACCATCTTACTGTGTTTAGGGAGACGTATCCCTGTTGATGGTGGGGACTAGTTTCAGAACCGTCATACTGTGTTTAGGGAGATGTATCCCTGTTGATGGTGGGGACTAGTTTCAGGATCATCTTACTGTGTTTAGGGAGACGTATCCCTGTTGGTGGTGGGGACTAGTTTCAGGACCGTCATACTGTGTTTAGGGAAATGTATCCCTGTTGATGGTGGGGACTAGTTTCAGGATCATCTTACTGTGTTTAGGGAGACGTATCCCTGTTGGTGGTGGGGACAAGTTTCAGGACCATCTTACGGTGTTTAGGGAGACGTATCCCTGTTGGTGGTGGGGACTAGTTTCAGGACCATCTTACTGTGTTTAGGGAGACGTATCCCTGTTGGTGGTGGGGACTAGTTTCAGGACCATCTTACTGTGTTTAGGGAGACGTATCCCTGTTGATGGTGGAGACTAGTTTCAGGATCATCTTACTGTGTTTAGGGAGACGTATTCCTGTTGGTGGTGGGGACTAGTTTCAGGACCTTCATACTGTGTTTAGGGAGACGTATCCCTGTTGATGGTGGGGACTAGTTTCAGGACCGTCATACTGTGTTTAGGGAGACGTATCCCTGTTGATGGTGGGGACTAGTTTCAGGACCGTCATACTGTGTTTAGGGGGACGTATCCCTGTTGATGGTGGGGACTAGTTTCAGGACCGTCATACTGTGTTTAGGGGGACGTATCCCTGTTAGT